AGCTTTTTACTTAATAAAGTGAATGGACAAGCCTTGGTTGTAAATATAATCATCATTTTTTAGTGGACATACCTTAAAAAGAATTTCTAATTGAAATAAGAATGCTATTTTATAGTGACCTAGATACAGACATAAAACATTCTATCCAGTTGTATAAAATTTCTATTTTAGAGCAACTTGTCTCTTTGACTGGTTTTTATATTCATTAAAGCTATTCAGCTAAACTTTTATTTCCTGGTGTCTGATAACCTGAGTAGAAACCCTTGACATATTCAAAAAAAAAGAATGACAACACACTACAGAAGGGATGTGGAAACAGTCCCAGCCTGACTAAAAAAAAAAAAAGGAAAAGAATTCTGATCATTTGGTTGATTTTGGAAAGTGGGTCAGGTCAAGAAATTTGCAGCAACCTCATTTCTTAAAATTTTTCTTTTTTTAATAATTTCGACCCAAGCAAATCTGACAATGCCAATAGAATGCAGGTTGTTACAGGAAGTGAGAGAGAATGAAAAGATTGAAAAAAGGGAGGAGGAGGGGGGGAAGGAACAGGGTTCCAGAAGATAGCAATTGACACTGCATTTAAATTTCTGAAGATTATAGTTATCAAAGAAGCAAGAAATTGGAAGGGAGTTCCACAGGTGAGAAAGAAAAAAAAACAAAACAAAACAAATAATGTTAGAGTAGATGTGGTGGTTACATGTAGCTAGTTCAAAAGTAAAACTGTGAGACAGTTTCCAATCTAGTAGCACACTTAAATTTGCCTAGTCAGGGTACCAGGAAGAAAAGCTCATCTGAGCAGTTGCCATGAAAATATTTGTTGACTTTTGTCTACATATCGCCACATATCATTGATGAGAAAGTGTCTGGAGACAAGATGCCTGGTTAAGATTGTGTTACAGACCCCACTCTGGTTTTATATATAAACCATTTTCAATTATAAATAGTAATACTAAGAACAACTGAAGTGATTTTTTTTTTTTTTTTTTTAAACAGTGATATTCACCTTGTATAAGGACTGGGGGTCAATCACAGTAGAGACTTACAGTATAAAATTTGTTTGTTTAACAGCATATCAACTCCTTATGGGTCATTTAATGCCAAAATTTAATTTTCTTCGATGCATGAGTATTTTTTTTTTCTTTTCACAAAAATCTATTGCTGGTCATTTATTTTTATTTTTTTAAACTATACTTTCATTTTTTTCGACCTCAGTTTGGGGGGTTCATTATTTGCCCATAGCTGGGACCTTAACAGCTACTACTACACTGGGTCAGGGAGGACTTGGGGACAACAACAATTCAGAAGTGGTTCCACACTCCTCAAAACCTCACAGTCAGAGACCTGCTGTCAGATGTAGTTTATCATCATACTCAGGATGATACAGAGAAAGAGGTACAGTTTAGACAGATATGTGAGGAACATAATGCTTGACTCAAGACTTGAATAGGTTAGGATTGTGGTGATCAGGAAGACACCGTCTTTGGAGCTGGTTCCATGGAGCAGTGGTTCATGGGAAGAAGCTGCTCAAGTGGAACTTACATCTTACAAATAGAATATGAGAAGAGAATGAGGGTGATTCAATACAATGGGCGTGGCATGGCAGTCTTAGTTGTGAAGGTTAGAACTGATGGAATTAAGGATTCGTTCCTAATTGAAATGTTTTCTTTTAAATTTCATCATCCCTTTCAAAACTCCATTTATAATTTTTACAAAATAATATAATGTATAAATATAAAAAGATATTTTTTGCATATTATCAACTGCATGGTTTCTCTCTCTCTCATATATATATATATATATATATATATATATGTATGTACAGGTATACTTCATCCGATATCATAAATTGCTTCCAGAAGTCACAACTTAGTTTGAAAAATGACGCAAGTTAAAATAACCAATTAAAATAAAACACAAATGAAACTAAATATATATATATATATATATATATATATATATATATATATATATATATATATATACAGCTATACTTCATCCAACGTCATTAATTGCTTCCTGAAGTCATGACTTAGATTGAAAAATGACGCAAGTTAAAATAACCACACTATAAACCACAAATGAACACTCCTCATTGTCTACTACAGTAGTTATGATATGTATGTACAGGATTCTGAATAAATTAATTAAAATAATTAAGTAAAAACCAATTTTAAATTTATGTAAACTTGAGTAAAACGACCTAAGGCAAGTTTTATTTTTCCATATAATATTTAAGTAAAACTGACGTATCTTCAAAAATGATTTAACTTGAAACAAGTTAAACCAAGGTGCCACTGTATGTATGTATACATATATATGAAATATAATTTCTGTATATATATTATATGCAAAATACTTATTGGAAATTGCTTGATATCAGTGATAGAGGCAATATATTCATTCATATCTATATGAGTTTGTAAATCTGGGTTTCATGCTTTTGTGATCATTGATCACAAAAACATAAAACAAGGTTACAAACTCATATCCATATGACTGAATATATATATATATAATAAGAAATAAGAATAAGCAGCTCCCAAAAGAGTCCACTTAAGATTGCACACAGTCGTGGTTGGTCACTGGCCATTTAAAATTTGACTTAAAAATATATTAAGGCTCTGCCATTTATTATGGTACTGAGCACTCTTTTTTTCCTGTGTGCTTCAAGCAGTAAGCTCCTCAACAATGAAGCTATTATTCCCTATGATGTTGAGAACCTTTTGTCACACCAGTAAACCATTTCTGGTGATTTTTTTCTTGGCTATTTTGATTTTGGCTGGATAGGTTACCTTCCCTCTGGTGAGTTTGGTTGGCGTACCATCTTGGATTTGCCTGGTGGTATAAGAGCTCCTATTTTCACATACTACAGCTACTGACTGCCTGATGATTGTGCAAAAACTTATGAAATTGGCAGTTGTGGTCAGTCACTACCCCCCTGAAATTTGACATATATTTATAAGATGTACAATATCAACCAAAAGAAAATTAAAAAGGATGAGACAAAGTGGAAAATTTATTAACGACATGTTTCACTGAGAGTGTCTGCTCTCTTTGGCTTCCTCAGTTTAAGATGAAAGAAGGACAAAAGTGTATGTAAGGAAAAATGGCTTGGGATCTCTGAGGATAAGCAGTGAACATTAATCAAGTCAAATAAGATACCTTTTCACCAATGTTCAGACTCAATAGAGTGTTTGTCTGCCTGTTGGTTTTATTTATATCAGGTGTTTGGTGTTGCTGGATTTTAAATCATTCCACTGAAACTAGATACTATATATATATATATATATATATATATTTGTCTTTCTTCATTTTTTTTTTTTAAATATTTGTTACCAATATCCAACACATATATATGTTTTTATTTATTTTTTCTGTACTGCCACTCTGAGAGTTTTTATTATTACTATGATTGTCATCATTAAGCCTCCTATTTAAATCCACTTGTTGCAATTGGAATTAAGTTGTACTTTTTAATTTTGGAATAAATAAAAAAATAATTGTCCACAGCTATATGCATTTATAGTATTTGCATTCTTACTGTTTATCTTGGTTCTGGATGAATAAGTTAAAAAATGACTTCTGTGCACCTACATTGAAATAAGTGTTGTAAAATTAGATGTGACAAGGGTAAATTAATTTCCAGCTCAATTTTTTAGTTGACAGGAGACTACTGATTTTTTTAGATTTTGTTTTATATGTAATGATTGGGAATACAGTTTCTCCAAGAAGAGGTTATGGAAGGTAGCAGAAATTTGATTGTACCTTTACTTGTTGGATATTGTTTGGAAAATGTAATAATTGCATTTTTCCAGTCTTTTAGAGGAAAAAGATGTTATGAAAAGTAGCAGAAATTCCATTATGTCCTCAATGAAATCTGAAATTCATAATAGACAATGTAGACTCTCAAAGAAAAAAAAATTGTGCGCTTATTCATTGCCCGATATTCATTAAAATTAAGAATGCAACACAGTAATCCCAGCAACAATACAATTTTTCTGCATGCAATTCTAACAGCATATTTGTGCACAATGCAATGCACAATCCATACATATATTTTTGGTCAGTAGTAACAATAGTGATTGTTATCTGTTGTCAACCTATAGCAGTTTGGTTTAAAGTGTTTCTTACTTTTGAAAAAGTATTTGTTCCTTTGAAAACTGATTGTTTTAGTATGCATAATATTAATACAAATAAAAACCTACTGCTGGTTTTGTTCCATATCATCACAACAAAGAAAGTTTTTTTTTTCTTTTGTTTTCCCAGTGCATATAAAAGTTGCATTTACTCTAAACTGTAGTCTATTAAGTATATAATAGTATTAGGTTTTAAAAAATGTTATTGTTCCCAAATTTTGACACAAATTTAAGTAAAATGGAGCAAATTTGCTCAGTACAGAGTTGCTGTAAACTTTGAATTTTTTAAAAATAAAGATAATATCTGTAGAGTGTAACTAAGTAAAATACAATAAAATGAGGTTCACTTGTAATTAAAACAAATATTATTAATATATTAACACTGGAAAAATGTTTTTAATTGAAAGTTCAAGCTTAAGTACAATAAAAAAAAAAACAAATAATACAGGGTGCGCATTAAAAAAGTAGCAAATTTATTCTTCAAGAAAATACAGCAGCACTAATTGGTCCATTTCAGTGTCCCTGTAAAAGCCCAGATCTAAATATTATGGATTATTGTTTCTGGTTTATACTTGCTTACTCACTTGCAAAAACATAGTTGTGACATTGTCAATATTGATTCATTGAAGTGGAACTTAACTAAAGTTTAGAATGAAATTCCTCTTGACATGATCCACAAATCTACTGCCCCTTGGTTACCACGCTTCAACTTCGTGTTGAATATTCAGGTAAACATTTTGAATATCCACAATGATTGCTCAGTTTGTGCATAAATCATGATAGCTAAATAAATTCCTTTCTGAAATAACCACTTTTTTTACTGGGCACCCTGTAAATTAGTTATAATAAGTAGGTAATATTTACCGATGTTAGCGCATCCACAATAATTTTTAGGTCTGACACTTCTGCAGCAAGAACATCTCGAGTTTTCTTTTCAGCTTGTAATTTTTCTTCTGTCTAAAATAAAAGTTAAACCAAAAGGAACTTTATATCTTTTTGTCTGTAAAAAATATATATATATATATATATATATATATATATATATATATATATATTTGATAATGTTGACCAACCAAAACATGTTGGCAAAAAAACTAAGTACTGTTTTCTTATTGTCTATATATATATATATATTTATACAGATTAAAACAGACAATAGGAAAACAATACTTTGCCAAAATGTTTCGCCATTCAACATTATCAAGGCAATTAAAACAGACAATAGGAAAACAGTACTTAGTTTTTGCCAAAATGTTTCACCATTCAACATTATCAAGGCAATATATATATATATATATATATATATATATTAAAACAGACAATAGGAAAACAGTACTTAGATTTTGCCAAAATGTTTCACCATTCAACATTATCAAGGCTATATATATATATATATATATATATATATATATATAGTTTATGCAAATTTAGGTAATCCGTATGGGTAGACCTGAGGAGGATGATATCCAGAGAGCTCAATGTAAAATTCAGAGCAGATATGTTTGAATAAAAAACAGACCACGTTAAGATTCCATTTAATAAGCTATTTTACCATAACCCCTTTAACAGGGTTCTGGATCATCAGACTTTACTTCCAAAAGCTGAAATGAAAAATGAAAAGAAATCCACACGTTTTTTACGGACCTCATCAAGTATACGCAAAGTTAACGAAGTGGGGAAGTGAGGTGGGAGAGAGGATATGAGTGCGTCATATGTATCATTTTAGTTTCCTATTTTAATCCCAGTGTGTCGGCTGGATGTTGCTCAAATTTAACGCGTCTCGTCTCTAGATGGTTAAGGGGTGAGCGATAAGAACTACATAAAAGGGAGACGTTACAACAACCCCAATAAATTACACGACAGGTTTCATTCAAATTCTTAGACGCTGTCAGTTTGCGTTACTTTAACGTGCATATTTGGGAGCTTAAGGTTTGATAAATATCTAAATTTTCAAACAATCTACGAAGAGATTAATTTGAAATTCGGTGGAGTTTTGGGTATAGCTTATTACATGGAATCTTAATGTGGTCTGTCTTTTAGAATATATATATATATATATATATATATATATATATATATATATATATATATATATATATATATATATATATATAGATTAAAACAGACAATAGAAAAACAGTACTTAGTTTTTGCCAAAATGTTTCGCCATTCAACATTATCAAGTCAAGTGATGATAAACAGAACCAAATCTTTGTATGGTTACTCAAAATTATAAACTTATAAACTCATTCTGTAAATGTAAAATAAACAAAAACTTCTGACGTTAATAATACAATGAATTCATTTTTTTAAATTGCATGTCAAAATTTATAATACTCCCCACTTTATATATATATATATATATATATATATATATATATATAAAATCAATGAAAAAATTTTTCTCAGTTAACTTATGTTTACCTCATAGTTTTGTGGTTACATAGATGCAACCACTCTTCAGAACAGAGTCAAATTGCTAAAATTTATTGATTTCTTTGTACTTTTATTGTGGTATTAGTTACTTTACTTTTCACTTGCTGAATGTTGATTGGTTGTTGATTTTCACTTCCTCTTGCCAATGCACACCCACAAAAACACAGACGTGTGCACATACATGAACACACAAACATACATGGTTGAGTGCAGACATGTTTATATATATATATGTATACATGCAAGCGTTCACCACCACAGACACACACATAAACACACACCCACACAGAAATATATACATACACAAAAATTCAATCGTAACTTAGACTAAAAGGTCAAAACAATAATAAGTCTGAGATCAACAGAGACATATACAGTTAACTCAAATGCACACACAAACACATAATTAGATGTGCATACATTTTTTTTTTTACACATATGTGATCTATAGTGATGAGAATGTTTTAATTTTTATTTTCCAAATATATATATATATATATATATATATATATACCTATTTTGAATCATTTCACTCTAAGCAAGGCAATAAAGCCACTATGATACAAGGGCTACTAAGTGTAAAAGAATATAATTAGAAAGCATTATTAAGGTTTGATAACAAGAAAAGAACAGGAATTAAGAATTTCAGAAGATAACGACTGACATTGCATTTAAATTTTTGAAGATTAAAGTTGATTGGAAAGCAAGAAGCCCGAAGAGGGTACCACAAGTGAGAAGTGTGAGAAAAGAAACTGTTAATACTGAACTTACATTTAATTCTAGCAATTTCAACTGCAAAATGGAGAGACCTAGCTGCCAATCTCATATTATGGGTGGGCTTGTCTACAGCCACATCAGGTTGCCAAATACGTCAAGCCTTTGAGGATAATGCTTTGTGTGAGCACATTGCTAGGCATTGCTTTCAGATGTTCAAGTTGGGGTATCTGACACTTTGTGATGAACCTTGCAGTGGTCACCACAGGTCCTGAATGATGAAGCCCCAAAGGTGGAGGACAACAGGCAAATCTGTGGTGAGCTTTCTTAACATTTCCAGGTTTCTGATGAAACAGTCAAACTTCACCTGCACCGCATAGGGAAAACATACAAGCTGTGCAAGTGGGTACCCCACACATTGTTGGAAGCTAACAAGCAACAATGAGTGACAGCCTTTTTTACATTGCTTTCTCAGTATCACAACGTACTCAGTGATGAAAAGTGGGTCCTGTATGACACTCCCAAGAATACTAGACATTGTTACCATGAGACCATTTGCTTCACATAACAAGGCCACCTCTACACACACTCAAGGTCAGATTCTCTATCTGGTGGATTAGTCAGCAACTGGTGCACTATGAGCTGCTACCACTGGTCCAAACCATTGCTGCAGACCTGTACTCATAGTAGTTGGAACCTGTACAACTTGCACTGGAGCAGAAGCCAGAATTGTAAGAATGTACTGCTTTTCCATGACAATGCCAGGTCTTGAGTGGCACAAGTGGCCAGAGATATCATACAGTGACTTGGGTGGGAGACACTGTGCCATCCAGCTTACTCCCCCAGACGCTAACAATCTCTTTCATTGCCTGGATAACCACTTTTATAGGAAATCCTTCACAAATGAGGCAGACTTGCAGCAGGCATTCACAGACTTCTTTGCATCCAGAGACCTGGTTTATACTGCCAGGGTATTGAACAGCTGGAGACACACTGGCAAAAAGTTCTGGATGTCGATGGAGCTTATGTTGAGAACTAATGGCATGTTAAATTCTTCAAGCACTGAAAAAGCTCACTCTCACTCTTTGGGTATTCTCTATGAATTCTCGTATCCAATTCATCCTATACTAATTCAACAGAAGAGTGTTGTGGAGATTGATGCAGTAAAATCATAATTTCCAAAATTTTGCAAGGTAATTTTTAATATAATTTAGAAGTGCTTTGGATTCTTCTCTTGTTGAAAGGAGAATTATTTTTCAAATATATGTAAACCAGATGTCTTTGCAAAAACCGAACGAAATTGATTTTTTGTTCATGATTCTCTTTATCTGAATAAAAACTTCAGCCCTTGTAATCTCAAAATGTCTAATGGGTTTACTGATGAAAAACAAAGTATGTTTCTCATACAAAATATTCATTATTTAGCAAAATGTATTGTGGACAGCCAAATCCAAATTTTATCTTTTTGGTAGTAAGAGGAACTTGCTGCAGTCACTGAAATTTAATCTGTTACTTAAAAAAAAAAAAAAAAAAAAAAAAAAGAAATATCAAATTTTAAGTTGTTTTTTTAAAAGAAATGATGCAAGGTGTTTCCAAACATTTTGCCTGAAGTGGGTATAATATATATATATATATATATATATATATATATATATATATTTAGTTGGATTGATGTGAGTTTGTGACCCTGGATTTCACGCTTTTGTGATCGTCAGACAAACTGATTAATTTTTTAAAAAATTTTGGGTTTATGTAGATTGCGTTTTATATACACACACTTTTCACACACACTTTTCACACACACACACACACACATATATATATATTATATACACACATAAAAATTCCCGAGGCTGTTGTAACACGAGAGAATTACTCTCAAGAATTATTCTCAAGTAATACAAGAGAAGCACCGAACATTAAAGTATTTTTTCCACAGTGGATCATATATCGAAGTGTGTATAAAAAAATAAATACACATAAAAACTCCAATTTGATAATTTTTTGGTTTCAACTTAATTGACTTGAAATTTTTTCCAGCAAACATGAGAATGCCGGCATAAAAAAAAAAGTTTTCGCTGTTTCAGAGAATTTATCAATGATAATTTGAATGTCTTCTAGACTGTGTGCTAATAGAGCAGCAGCATCTGCAAAGAGAAGATCACATACCAGCTGCAGACCAAGTTTTGATTTAAAACAAACATATATGTGTGTGTTGGTTGGTTGGTTGTTTGGGGTTTTATGGCATATCAACCACTATGGGTTATTTAATGCCAAATCCAGTTTATATATATATATATATATATATATATATATATATATATATATTAAATATATATATACTTTGTAAACATAATTTGAGGATAACGTCCTTAAACCACAGCTTGTTTATTCTTACTCAAGTAAATGGTTTCAAATGTTTCTATCTGGCATGAGTTAGTTATTTATATTAAATAAACTAATTCATTTGCATAGCCAATTGATGTAATTTTTCACTACCAGTTTTATTTGAAAAAAGGCCCTATGTAGTATTAATAAATATGGTATTGTTTGAAATTAATGGAGGTTGTTACTTTTAAGAAGTTTTCTTGTAGGCAAACTATTTTGGGGTTATGGATGGACAGGAGTTGTTGAAGTTCCTCATAATTAGCCCGGATTCCTCTGCAATTCCACTGTAGGATTGCATTATTTTGTAATTTCATTGTTTGATGTGTAATTTGTCTGAATTGGAGTTTATTGCTCTTTTTTGACTTGTTTTTAGTGCTCGGCTCATCAGTTTCCATCCTTTCCAAAAAACCAAACCTGTT